AAATTTGACATCATTTTGTATCTCAAAAGTTCTGATTTGATTACCTTTGTTGCTTAGTAAAGAAAATTGAAAATTGATAGAATAGTGTATTTCACACGTCTGAAGACAATGATCAAGTGTTTCTTTGTTTGTGCTAAGTCTTAAGTTTGCTATATGAGAGTCAGGTTCCTAACAAGTTATACTAAAGTTATTGAAATGCTTTTAGAATTGAACAATCTTGAAATAAGAGGCTAAGAAGTGAAAAAATAATGTTGTGAAAGTGATTTTGATATAAGAAGGAGAATAAAATGTGAATTTTCTACTTTACCCCTCAAATTGTAAATATTTTTTAATTTTTCTGTCAGTTTTAACAGCCAGGGACCAAATGCGCCACTTCACTCATAAGTCATAACTGAGGGACTAAAAATAAATACAGTCATAACTCAGGGACTGGTGCACTAGATAAAGCTCTAGAATGCAGTCATGCATTCAAATGATATGGAATAGTGCACTTATAATATGTAAAAGTTTACTCAAGTTAGATGGACCGCAACATATCAATGAATGCACTGTAAAACTTTACCTAATGCATTATACTAATTACAAAAATATATCGTATTTTTTTTATTTTCTCCTTATTTTTCAACATTTGATAAACTCAAATGGACATATGATATTATCTACATTTTTTTTTACAAGAAGCATTATTTTCACAAGCAAAGCGCGTAAATATTATTTTTGGGGTATTACAAATTTACAATTAAAAAGAAAAAAAAAAAACTATTCTTCAAATATGAGGATAGGAAAAAAGTAAAGACGATATGGTGAAAAGGAATATACGCAAGGTATAAAAGTATAATTACACAGATATTAATATAATTGCCTAATAATTATTATGTAATTAAGCTAAACATGGATTTATTTTTATAATAATTACAATTAAATTATTTCTCCTTTTTCTCATATTTATTTTAGCAATAATATAATTACATAAATAATATTACATATCAATTTTTAAGATAATTGTTGACAAACGATTCATATATTATTCAATTAATTGAGTGATACTTTTGCACTAATCTTATAATCAAATAAATGTGCACTTTCACATATTAGAATTGTTTGTAATTTCATCTTTAATTTTATTATCTAAATATATAATAAAAGATTTTATTCGTGCATCGCATGGATAATTGATCAAATTCAAGCAAAGATAACATCAGAAAACATAATTGATCCAACCAATTTCATCAATTGCACTATATAATATTCGTTGTTATAATTTATATAATTGTATATCGATCTAAATATTCTTAAAATATTATAACAAATTCATTTTGTGCAACGCACGAGTGAAAATACTAATTAATATAATTTTTTCTTCTGTATTCACATTCTACATACGGAAATAATTTAACCGAGTGTCAATAAGTTCAGTAATTATCTCGTAGAATATAATTTATAGTATCATAATAAAAACATTTATACCTTAAAACTTATAATATGAATAAATAATAAAATAAATTAAAGAGTTTGAAAAAATATTTAAATTATTAAAATACTCTACTAAAGTATATGAACAGATACTACATTGTAATAGAGCTAGTAGCATTCAAAAAAAAAAAATTAAAATACTCTACTATTTTTTTCATAAAGTCATTTGAATGGACATTATGTGTCCATTTGAAAATACAATAAAAATATTTTATAGAAAATAATTTTCAGAAAACTATTCATTTTTTGAAAAAAAAAATATAATTTTTTATTTTTAGCTGAAAGTCCAAAATAATCTTTTTTTTTTGTTTGGCTAAATTTTTTTAAAATTATATTTCTTTTATTTGATTTATTTTTTAAACATGAATATAAATTTATTAAATTTTTTATAAAATATTAATTATTTTAATAATGATAATAATAATTATTTATATTAAAATAAAATTATATATTAAAATTTATAATACTAATAATAAGATGTAAATAAATTGCAATACTCAATTATGTTGATGGGCATATTAATATAACACTACCATATATAAACAATCGTTATCCCCTGCAGTGCACATAGCATTGTGCGCCCTGTGCATCTCAAAACGACGTCGTTTTGTTATGTTGTGTGGGAAGTCGGCGCGACAGAGTGTATGTATATTATGTTATATAAATATGTATATTATGTTATACAATTATGTACATTTTGGTATACAATTATGTACATTATTTTATACAATTATGTATATTTTTTTATACAATTATGTACATTCGAACACGTGATTTTTTTAACAATTAAAAGTTTATGTGTATTCTGTTATACAATTATGTACATTTTAGTATACAATTATGTACATTTTCAAAATATGATTTTTTTTAACAAGTTAACAACAAACACGGAATAATAGATATTTTTTTAAGTGCAAAACGACGTCGTTTTGCACCAGGGCGCACAATGCAATGTGCGCCCTGGTGCACGATATAAATTGCTATATATAAACGGTATATATGCGTTTGAACAAAATAAGAGCATTGTGTTTTTTTTTTTCTCTCAACGGGCAAATGCTGGCTATGGGGTTCGAACCCATGCGCATTTATATGTAGAAGATCTTAAGTCTTCCCCCTTAACCTCTCGGGCAAACCAGCAATTGTTTTGAAATTGTGTTTACGGGCACATGCTGGGATCGGCTCACGAACGCACACCTTTGGCGAATTTGATTCGCTGGAGAGATAAACCAGTGACCCTTTCTATTGTGCAAGCAAGATTAGTTGGATTAGCCCACTTTTTTGTAGGTTATATATTCACTTATGCTGCTTTCTTAATTGCCTCTACATCGGGTAAATTTGGTTAATTTTAATGTGTTGTATCCGCGATAATCTCATTTCTTTCGACGGAGGGGGGATCCACCTTTTTCTATTGCTGTGCAACCGTGTGCACCATGCATGGTGCACATGGTTGCAAAAACGACGTCGTTTTGACGTTCGACTTAAAAAAAAAAAAAATCAGAATTGCATAACTACACATCCATAACTATAAATCCAGAATTGCATAACTACACATCCATAACTTCATAACTATACATTCAAATTGTGAAATTATAACTTCATAACTATACATTACACATCCATAAATTATGAACATATGTTTACGTAACTAACGGCAATCAAAAATAATTTTTTTTTATTTAAGTAAAACGCACACAGATGCACAAATGCTAGCTATGGGGTTCGAACCCATGCGCATTTATATGCAGAAGATCTTAAGTCTTCCCCCTTAACCTCTCGGGCAAACTAGCAATTGTTTTGAAATTGTGTTTACTATATTCTACACTTTAAAAGGTTGTTTCCGCCAACTAAATGGGTATTAGAGTTCAATGCTGCATTAACCATTATTTTTAGAGTCGTTAAAATGACCTTAGCTTGCTGAACTAGTCTGTTATTCTACAAAAATGACGGGGTAGACTTTGCTTTTTATGGCTCACAAATTTGGCGGGCCAATGAAGACCCACCTAGTTTGAGTAATAGGAATCTATAAATTTTTTCCTTCAAATTTGAGGAAAAGCGATTCCTTACTAGTATTTTATTTTTACACTTTTTAAGAGAAAATTTATAATAGTCTCCCAAATTACACTCACACATCTCTATTATGTAGGGATATTGAGCATTTATATTAATTATTGTCAACAACTTATTTTAAACAATTCAACCAAATAACAAATTGGAATCAATATTTCGAATATTTTTTTAAAAAAAACCAACAAACCCGAATATATTAATTTTTCCGAAGGTCCAAACCGGCAATACAAGAAATAAAACTAGGAATACAATCAAAATATTCAACCATGCCCATCCGTGAATCGTCTAAAGATTTCTTAGCAATAGCATGGGCTGGCATATTTGCATCCCTTTTAACAAAGTTGAAGCTCACCAAAACCAGCTGGTCCAGAACTTGATGAATATATTGAATAATTAGGCCAAAAGGTGCATTGTTCGATCCCCCACCAACCGCCGTTATTACGAGCTTTGCATCGGTCCCAACAACCACACGACTACATCCCTTCCGCTTCACCCAACTCAGAGCCTCCTGCACCCCCATGGCCTCCACTTCCCGAACCGAAAATAGTTTATTATCAAATAATTTATTTTTTAAAATAAAATTGAATATAATTTATTATCAATTTTTTTCACAAATTGAACGAACTATTAATATATGGGGATTGTATAGCAATTAGCTGATAGTTGATAGATGATTGAGTTAGTTGTTTTAACTCGATGATAATATTAGTTTGTAATAAAAAATGTGTTTGGTAAATTAATTGTTTACTGTTAGTTGAATACATGTAAAATAACTTATAATTGCATAATTATATTGTGCTATTACTTAACACTTACATTATTTTTACAATTTATTATTATTCATAGGAAAAATGGTTAAATAGGCCCCCGAACTTTATTCAAAAGGTCAATTAGACACTTAAACTTTCAAAAGTTGCATTAAACTCATAAATATGTTATTTTGGAGCATTGAAGCCTAGTAACCGGGTTGGTGACCTATAATTACATGTCGCTAGGGTTCCGACGAACCTTCAGCAAGTTTCCAGCATCAAATACTGATGATACGATCGCCGATTGTATTTGGAGATGAAGACCAGTTTGGTCATCTTCTCTGGCGACTGGGGAAAGCGACCCGTTGGTTGCCTTCGCCTTCCCCAGTGATGGGCGCACACACACATACTATGAGAAGAGTGTAATGCTAGAAAAAATGTGATATTTTTTAATGAAAAAATACTCTGTAATATTTTTAAAATCAAAATGTTATATTAAAATTTGAAAAATTAGTTACATTATCCCACTGGTAACAAATTATCATCATTAGATTCTCCGCTGTCAATAAGTATACATGGGACTCTAATTTGACCGGGAGGGTTCAGGGCCAAAATTTGCGCCCACGGCGTACGTTAGCCGAATTGTGCACCGGATTTGAAAATTTAAAATTGGCGTATTTAAATAAAAAGAATAATAAAAATGCCACCTAATTTTCTCTCTCTACCCAAATCTCTCTGCTCAGTGCTCTCTCTCCTCCACAGAGCTCCAGTCTCTACCTCCATTGTTAGGGCATCTGAATAGCCGCTTGAGCAACGATTCTTTGTGTCTAAAGAATTCATCTATCCAAGTTTCCGGAGAAATTGATGGGAGGATGAGAAATTTTCGGTTTTCTCTGCTTAAATTTCGAATTTTATGAGTGTTTCTAGGTTTTTCTTCACAAGGTGGTCCTGAGAGTGGGAAGACGAGGAGAATGCCGGCACATAAGTCGAAATCGGAGAAGAGAGAAGATTCCAGTCCTCCGCGGAGGGATCCTTATGAGGTCCTCGGAGTCAACAAGTACTCAACAGATCAGGAAATCAAAACCGCCTACAGAAAATTAGCTTTGAAGTATGTGTATTCTTCGTTTTTTTGCTTTCTTTCTTTATTTCTTAAGTCATTATTGTTTCAGAACTGAGAAGTAATATATATATTTTTGTTCTTGGAGCTGGTTTTGAAATTTTAATATGTAGTTTTATGAAAAATTTATGCAACTGTGTACTTTGTTACTGAGAGCAGTGAAGAGGAAGTGAGAATCTTTAATTTCTTGATTCATTCCTTGTTATTGATCTCAGGCCCCATTGTACTCAGTGTGCTTTTTGCTGTCAATGCTTTTTCTTTTTTGCTGTTTCAGTTTGGAATTTTATTGATTTTCAAAATTGAACATCTTTGTGTTGGCTTGAAGATAAGTGTTTTAGAAGAATATAACTGTGCAATAGAACTTCAAGTACTCAACCAATGATATATTCAGATTAAGGTATTTCTTACAAAGATAAGAAACTTCCTTCCACTATGAAGAAAGATGCAGAATTTTCTGGAAGAAAGATGTAGCTATTTTTGCTCCATAACTGGGAGAGGAACAGAATTTACTCTGAAAGATGCATTTTCTGGGTTGCTTTACTGTAACAAGGGAGAAATGGCAGTGTGCCTAAGTTAGGAAGAAATTCTACTCGTACTATATAGACATTGTTGCTCCTTAGTTTACTATTTGTTTCAATGTTTGATGTGTGGATAGAGTTTCATCTGAACAATTGAAATTAAAATGTCTTTCTTTTATTTAATAATAATAATAATAATAATAATAATAATAATAATAATAATAATAATAATAATAATAATAATAAAATTATTATTATTATTATTATTATTATTATTATTATTATTATTATTATTATTATTATTATTATTATTATTATCATTATTATTTTGTAGAATCTTTATCTTTTAAACCACTCCATTGCCTATATTGCTTCCTATTGCCTTTGTATATTCTATTTCTTAAAATCTGCGTTTGTACATCAAATTATTGATGTGAGATGCCTTCCTTTGGGTACCTATTGTACATCAAATTATAGGTTGAAAATGTCATAGGAAATTTCTATACTATTTATAAGTTGTTTATGTAATCAGGATTCAGGAGAAAATGCCTTCGGCAAGTAAGAATCTGACTGATGAAGTTGGAAGTTGCATTCTGAGAATCGATTCAATATTATAAAACGTTGTTTCTTGATGTATGGTTCTGTGTATATATGTTTTGAGAATCTGATTTCTTTGCTAAACCTGCGAAGGTACCATCCTGACAAGAATGCAAATGACCCTAAAGCAGCTGATATTTTCAAGGAAGTCACATTTTCATATAACATTTTGTCTAATCCAGACAAAAGGCGTCAATATGACTCTGCTGGTTTTGAGGTTTGCAATCTCTTTGTTTACTTCTAATTACATTTCATCTTTCACTGATAAAAGCGGAGCCTGCAGTGATACAGTTATATACTTATATTAGATAAAAGTAAGTTAAAAAACTATGTGCCAGAGTCTCTATGGATCTGTAACAGGAGAATCTACAATTTACCAGATTGATAAGGATTCCCATAAGCACATGGATTCCCTAATTCTGCCGGATTACAATAATATAGTCACCAATAACAATTGCCTGTAACTATGTTTTATTCAATCACAATCACCTAAAGCACCTTTTTTTTTTTTTTTTTTTTTTTTTTTTTTTTTTTTTTTTTTTTGTTGTTGTTGTTGCTAATTTAAGATTTCTACCTTAAACACACTATTATTTTCATTTTAATTTGACGGAACTGTTTCTAAAATTATGTATTTTCCAATTTTCAGCGTAGTTTTTCTTCTTCTTTTGAACTTTTATAGTGACCAATATTGACAACTTTTTAACTTTTCAGGCCGTGGAGTCTGATAACCAAGATATGGAGTTGGACCTTTCAAGTTTGGGACCTGTAAATACTATGTTTGCTGCGCTATTCAGGTCAGTTTATGTTATTTGCTATACTTGACTTACTTTCTTGCTCTTACTGATCTATAATCCTATCATTCTTTGCCATAAAATAATACATTCTCTATCTCTTATCAGTAAGCTTGGGGTACCAATTAAAACTGCTGTCTCAGCCACTGTCTTGGAGGAAGCATTAAATGGCTCAGTGTCCATTCGTCCCCTTCCACTTGGGCAGCCCATCTGTAGGAAGGTATGATCTACTGAGCACATTTGATTGTTCTCTTGTAACATGTTTCCTACAATTGTAATTTGTCTTTCCATAACAGGTAGAAAAGCAGTGTGCTCACTTCTATTCTGTTACAATCACAGAAAAGGAAGCAAAGGGAGGCTTTGTTTGCAGGGTGCAGTCATCAGATAAAAGCAAGTTCAAGGTGCATATACTTGTCTGGCATTTTAAATGCCACTAAACAATATATGAAAATATAGTATCTTTTAGTATTCTAATGTGCATTTTTGTTCATCTGCAGTTATTGTACTTTGATCAAGAAGAAAATAGTGGACTGAGCCTTGCACTGCAGGTATAGACCCCTAATCTAAAAGTTCTTCCTTGAATGAAGGCCAAAAATTGTGGGTTTCTAGGCATTTCAGAGGATATACTCATGGGTGTTTTATGTGTAGAAGAGCTACAAAGTTAATTTTTGTAGTTATTTTGGAATTGAAAGTCTAAATTGGAATGCAGTTTTTATATTGATGTGAATATGATGCAGTTCAACTTCAGTCTCTGCAGTGTGGACCTGTTTTTTGATTAAAGTTGAGCTACCTCTATTCTTTTCAGTAGTTTACCGAGTCCTCTTATGCATTCTGAATGTGTCCTTGTTCTTTTATGAATACAGAAGCAAATGTAGCATCAATTTATGGTCAAGATACAGGAATAGACCATCCTTTTTTATGTTGAGCTCTCATCTATACCTTAGGACTCTGTACTGAGATTCATTGCACAATGTTAGCCCAATTTCATTAATTGCTCTTTACAGAAATTTTAGCTTACACGATTCAAATCGACTTCTCATATGTATTGACATTTTCCATATAACGATACCACTTCCTTGAGGTGTTTCAATAACTTTGTCGCCTTATTCATAGGAGGATAGTGCGAAGACTGGAAAAGTCACTTCTGCTGGGATGTATTTTTTTGGATTCACTGTTTATCACATGGATCCAGCACACAGCTCGGTGAGTGCATATTTTGTTATGCTAACTGGTTCTTCATTTTATAGTTGTCCCCCATTCTTTAGCTTGTTGGGTTGGTGCAGATGGCAGCTGCAAAGGATCAAGACTCTGCTTTATTTAAGAAACTAGATGGGTTTCAGCCATGTGAAATAACTGAACTAAAACCTGGAACACACGTATTTGCAGTATATGGTATCTTCTTTTGCTTGTAGATCAATATACTCTTCATTTGTTCTCAAGAATGTTTCTACTTTCTAACACCCCTTGCTCGTGACTACCTGTGCAGGTGACAATTTTTTCAAAAGTGTAAGCTACACCATTGAAGCTGTTTGTGCCGAAACTTTTGCGGAGGATAAAGAGAATCTAAAAGCTGTAGAAACTCAAATTTTATCAAAGAGGGTGGAGTTGTCCAAGTTTGAAACAGAATATCGAGAGGTATGCCCTCTAAGCAGAATCGGTATCTGCCCGTACGGGCTTAACTCACTGGTTCAGTAGGCAGTATTTGGGAGAAGAGACCAATGTTCGAAAGTTGGCAACGGTAGTGTGGGGATTATGCCTAAAGTGGGCAGAGCCCTTGTGCGCACCGGCATTTGGCCCTATCTGCTGAGCCACTGAGTTACCGTGATTTACATCCTCTCACATGCTCTGTCGGGCAGGGGTGTGGGTGTGGGGGCCCTTGGGCCTTTTGGGAGAAGAATCGGTATTTGCTAATTTTACTAGGCATTCTATTTAATTGATTTTTCACATTATGTCTTGCAGGTTCTTACACAGTTTACAGAGATGACTAGTAGATACGCCCAAGAAATGCAAGCAGTGAGTTGAAACCTAAAAATTTTTACACCCTACCCAGTCCCTAATTAGGGTAAAGGATACTTACCATACTCTATGCTTATGAACAGATTGATGAGCTTCTTAAACAGAGGAATGAAATACACGCCTCATATACAACTGCTCCCCCGATGAAGCGGAGCAGCAGTGGTCGTAGCAAAAGTAGTAGCGCCTCCAAGGAGTCCAACGAAGGCAGCCCAGTAAGACCGAAGAAATCTACAAAGGAACGACTGAAGAAGAAAAAATGGTACAACATTCACTTAAAGGTGGACAAAAGGAAGCCTTGCTAAGCACGGTGAGAGCTTTTGCCCTTTGCCACTAAGTCAATATATGGGCTTTTCTTTTTCCAAAACACGTCCCACTATTTGTGTTTGTCAAGCACAGGAGATCTCAACTAGTTCTCTGTTTTTCCGGTTATTAGTCTTGTCCAAGCAATGAGCCCGTTGCTGGTCTACACAAAAGTAAGCTCCGGTTTCCATCAACAGTGCGTTATTGAATACTGGTATGTCGTGTAATGGTCCTATACTCCTACATGTGAAGCATCGTCACACGTTATTGTAGAATTCTTCCCTCTGCATTCTTTTGTTAGCCATATTGCCTGTTTATGGATTCCATTATTAATCGGAAGTTATTTTTTTTTAAAAAACTTACTATGCTCCCCATACCTTCATTCTCTGAACTTGTCAACTTTAGTAATGTGCTGCCAACATAGTTTTCGCTAATCGAATCAAAAACACAGAATGAGAGACTACTTAGACATCAAATAATTTGTTATTGATAAATTCTCTATCTGTTATTTATGTGCTCTAAATAGGTTTTAACCACATTCACGCACTTTTTTACTCTAAATTTGCATTTCACTACATTTTGGAGGATGTACATGTAAATTACGGTAACTCAATAGCTCCAGCAGACAGGGTTAAATGCCAGTGTGCACAAAGAATATGCTCACTTTGAGCATAATTCTCACACTGCCGCTGTCCATATTTGAACCTTGATCTCTTCTTTTAAATACTGTTTACTGAACTAGTGAGCTAAGTCTATGCTGCATTTCATCATATTTTCTAGACTGGGATAATGTCATGTCAATTTATATTCTTATAATAATAATAATAATACATTTTAATAAAAAAGGAATGATAACTCGTTATAAGTTTTATCATAATAAATATTAAGGCGTATAGCGTATTTTTCGTTAAAGTTAAATTACAACTTGTTGACGTGATACACTATGGAATTGATATTTAAAATCCAAGAAAGATAAATTAAAAAGAAATATAATAATTTATGATGACTTTAAATAATATATATATCGACAAATATATAAACCAAAAAATAGTTTGGTTGAATAAAATAAAAGTTGATAAATGCTTTATTGGGATATACCGGTATACAATCCTTTTTCAAAGCAGAAACTGTTAGCCAGACATTGCTTTTGGAAGACCATCTTTCCTGTATCTTTTTGTCATTTTCTTTTGGTCGTCATTCGTCAATGTATTTCAACTCAGATTAAAATTAATAATATATTTGTTTACTTGTTGAAAATGTAATCATTAATACAATTGCATGAACTATGGTGTCAATGTGTGCTAAAGTTCACGAATCAGTCCTAAATTGTCTTGCGGTGAGATGAGTTAGGGTTTAAAATTTTTTATTCGTGTAGATTGGTGGGCTATGTGGGTTAGTCTACGCAGACCATGGTCAACCTGCAGGCTAAAGTGAGTAGTAGTAGTAGTAGTAGTCGTCCTAAAGTCTTGCGGTGGGATGGGTTAGGGTTTAAAATTTTTTATCCGTGTAGATTGGCGGGCTATGTGGGTTAGTCTATGCAGACCGTGGTTAACCCGCAGGCTAGTAATAGTAATAGTAGTAGTTTGTATTATGTTTTTACATATGTACTATTTTGTATTTTGAATATTATTGCTGTAGACTGAAATTTTTTGACACATGATTTATTAATTAATTAATTATATATATATATATATATATATATATATATATATATATATATATATAAATATTTGTATATAGTAAAACGAATCAAACATCTTAATTAATTTGCAGACCAGCCGAACTTTTTCTTTTCTTTTGTATGGGTGTAAAAATACATATTTTATGAAATTCAATCCCTAGACCTCATACAATAACAAAATACGAAGTATTTGCTACCATCAAACTACCCCCAACATTAAATAACTATTTTGATATATACTGTTAGTGGGATTTAATACCAATACCTCATTCAATAACATAACACTTATTACCACCAAGCTACTCTAAAATTCAATAACTATTATATATATATATGGTGATGTTCCAATGAGACCATCTCCCTCTGTGAGACTTAACGTTAACATGGATGCACGCAAATTACTCCATTGTAGATTGTGTGACTGAAATTTTAGATTGTGTACATGACAAGTTGCTAAATTCAAACCCACGCCTACTTAGGTAGGGGCGAGTGGGTAAAGTTCATTTTGACGGTCTTAATTTAGTTGTCAAGATTAAATGGATCTAAAAATGGTGTCGTAACATGGATTGATTCATATTATGTTTTTAAATATCAATTGTAGGTCATTATTGCATTATTTTTCAATATTTTATTATTTAGGAATTTTTTGTTAACGAAAAACAAGGTTGATTAATTAACAACCAATCAATAAAAATATAAAGGAGAACACTTGTGTGACAATGTCTCACGTGTTTTAATCCGTGAGACGAGTCTAATCTTTGACTTCATTAATCAAAGATCCAACCAGTCTCACCGATTGAGACTCGTGAGATGGTCTCACACAAGTTTTTGCCATTTTTTGTTTCCATACAACATCCATTATCTTCTCACTTCAACATGATGCAATTTGAATTCAATCAGCAAATTTAACATGATACAACATACATACATACATATATATATATATATATATATATATATATATATATATATATATATAAAATCTTCCTACTTCATTTTCTCACCTAAACTTTTTTACCTAATTAATTAAATATTTTTTGTCAAATAATTAATAAATCTTATTTGGTAAGTAAATGTATAATGGAAATTAATTAAAATCTATTAATTAGTAATATTGTATAATTATGGTATTTCTATTGAGTACTTATATTTATTTATATTGAGTAATGAATAATATGGTATTCTGACCATCCTAATATGGTTATCCCATTTTAGTTTCCAACAAATATTCAACGTGATATTACCTTAATAATAATAATAATAATAATAATAATAATAATAATAATAATAATAATAATAATAATAATAATAATAATAATAATATATCTCTCTCCCTACATATATATATATATATATATATATATATATATATATATATATATATATATATATATATATATATATATATATATAGTCTTGTACTCGGGTGCGAACGGCTCGTCCAGGCGCGAAATAAGAATGGATTCTGTTCGTCCACGTGTCCAGATCTAATGGATGAGAAACACTGATTTTTAAAAAAAAAACGCGGTGGCATTTTCGTAAATAATTGAACATCGAAGTGCAAGTAAAATGTATTACAAGTGCATGTAAAATGTATTATAGGTGCAAGTAAAAATTTACACTGAGCATCAATACTTAGTTGCACTTATAGTTCTAAGTAGTTGCACCTATAGTTCTAAGTAGTTGCACACATAGGTATAAGTAGTTGCATCTAGGTGTATGAATGTTTGCGAGTGGTTTTCAGGAGTATTACTACCCGCTGAACTCAGATCAATGAATGTTAACAAGGCAAAATTACATGCACTTATAGGTGAAAGTAGGTACACCTATAGTTATAAGTAGTTGCACCTATAGTTATAAATAGTTGCACATATAGTTATAAGCACACCCAGGTGCATGAATGGTTGTGGAAAGTGAATGCTAACAAGGCAAAATTACATGCACTTATAGGTGAAAATAGGTGCACTTATAAGAGATTTTACTTGCACTTCGATGTTCAATTATTTACGAAAATGCCACCGCGTTTTTTTTAAGTTATTAGATCTGGACACGTGTCGCGCGCTGAATCGTTCGCATTTCCTTCCTGGGCATTTATTCGCACCTGAGTGCGTCCCTATATATATATATATATATATATATATATATATATATATATATATATAATTCCTCCTCCTTCATTTTTCTGTCCAAACTTTTTTACCCAATTAATTAAATATTTTTTTTGTCAAATAATTAATAAATCTTATTTGGTAAGCAAATATATAATGGTAATTAATTAAAACCTATTATTTAGTAACATTTCATAATTATAGTATTTCTAGTGAGTACCTATATTTATTTATATTGAGTAATGAGTAATATGGTATTGTGACAATCCTCATATGGTTATCCTATTTTAGTTTCCAACAAATATTCACTGTGATGTTATTACCTTAATAATAATAATAATAATAATAATAATAATAATAATAATAATAATAATGTTTTCATTACTTTACTTTCTATCTAACCCATTTTATTACATTGGACACAAATATTATTTACAATTGATATATATATATATATATATATATATATATATATATATATATATTTCCGCCCAAACACTTGGAAATGTAAATTGTAAAAGAAAACTAATATTATTAATTAATTAAAAATATAAAAGGATCTTAATGGAAAAGGAAACCGATTGAAAAATAGTCAAATTGAAAAAGGAAACGAATATTATTTATTAATTAACTAAAAATAATAAACATCCCTAATTGACTTAAAATAGAAAAAGAGATTATCGAATATTAAGAATGTAAATTGAAAAAGGAAATTGATGTTCAAATTTAAATAATTATATATCAATTAAATATTCTTAATATATTACAAGAAATCTATTCTTTGCATTGCAAGACGCAAATACTAGTAATTATATAAGCCAACATAACGCATCTGCTCTTTCTTCTCGGTCGCAGCTTCAATTCGACATCTTCTCGCTCTCCTCTGTGGTACTTTCTCTATATTTTACATATATTATTGCTTTTGATTGTTACTCTTTATTTCATCAACTACATGTCAATTGCTATTACATGGTGATTCACTGGTTGTGTTGTATGTCACTTTTCGTTATGCGATTTTGATCCAAGGTGATTTATATTCGCTTATTACTTACCGATTAATCACTGAGTGAATTAAAATATTTTGTTGTGACCCTTCTTAGATTAATTTACTCAATTATCAATACTTATCTATTAGATTTTTATTTTTATTTTTGATATTTTTGAAAGGAAGCCATTGAGTAGAAGAATATTGAGACGCATGGCAGATTTTAAACGATACCTTAATGTGAGAATACCTGATGGCGGCGGTGCTCCTCTTCCTCCATATTCTCCATGGTATGTCCATTTTTCGTATCGTCCTTCTAATTCGTACAAGCCTTTTTCATACCCATATCCGTACAGCCCTTCTTCATCTCCTCCTCCCGGCGGTGATTATCGAGTCCCACAGGAGCATAGCAAAGAAGAAAAAGTAACATTAGAGGTGGAATTCGAAAGGTTCATTAAGGATTATATGCATGTGACTGTATCCAGGATTGTTGAAGTATTTTCTAGGGAAGAAGAAGAAGAAGTAAAATTAGATGTGAAAAAGGAAAAGGCCCTGCAGGATTGTGTGTATGTGCTTATGTTCAA